ATTATAATAATAATAATAACAATTAATAATAATAATAATAATAATAGATAATAATAATAATAATAATAATAATAATAATAATAATATAATAATAATAATAATAATAATAATAATAATAATAATAATAATAATAATAATAATAATAATAATAATAATAATAATAATAATAATAATAATAATAATAATAATAATAATAATAATAATAATAATAATAATAATAATAATAATAATAATAATAATAATAATAATAATAATAATAATAATAATAATAATAATAATAATCAAATATAATAGCAATGATAAAACTCCTATTACCTTACGATTACTTCTAGAGATCAATTCCTCTTCATGCTCTACCGGGATTCCTATGCTCTTCTTGCCTTTTGTACCTTAGACTTCTTTTCTCCAGTGTCTGTTCCGATTCCACGATCGTACATAATGATCCTATAAAATCTCAAACCTTCTCCTTATACCAAACTTTCCCTCTTAGACCCCTAATAATGAACTTCTCATAATTCCCTCACTTACCCTTCACTAATTACCACAATACCCTTGTTTTCTCTACATAACATATTATTCTATTTATCTTAATTAAAATAATTCTAAATAATTACTTTAATTATTCTAAAAATACACAATTGGTCAATATCACCTAATTCTCTCTATACTACTCATAGTAACCTATCACACGTCATATTCATCAAAATCATCATATTCAAACATCATGTTTACCTCAATCATCATGGTACACTTCATATTCATCAAAATTTCACAAAATTACCATAAAGGCTCACATATAATTATCAAAACATCAAGCATTTCACATTAACTTGTGTAATCGCTCTAAATTAATTAATTAATTAATTAATCTAGAATTCGGGGTGTTATAGTCGTGACACCTAGCTAGCCGTTGCCATTTTATTTTCTATTTTTTGTTCCTATTTATCTATCAAACTTAATTAAAAATAGATCCTAAATGCTTTTTCACTTCAATTTTATTTCATAAATTCCTAAAAATATTTTCTACCTTATATGTTTTTTTCAGACTTGTAAATTGAGTTTTAGCATTTTTTGCTATTTTCTTTTTATTTTATTTTTAATTAAATTTAAACATTTTATTTTCCATCATTTTGAAACATTCTTGATCCCAACTTTTGAGATCTTGATCCTTGGAGTTTATCTGACTTTTCTCAATTTTGTAGATTTTTATTTGATGATTTTATGAATCATTTGGTTTTTCTCTTTAATTTCCATTTTAAACCATTTAAATATCAATTTAAATAAATATTTGATTATTCTTGTTGATTGATGTTTCTTACATTTGGTTGACTTGGTCTATTGTGATTGATTGAAGCTCATCTTGTTCAATTGGACTTTAGATTGGTGCTTGATGAACTTTCTTCATTTTAAATCTATCATTAAATGATTATTTTTGGTACTTTGGATTGATGATAAGTTTATCTCAAAGTATCATAAAGGAGATGAATTGAAGTAATGATTCAATCCCTTTGCCTTATGCTTGATCAAGTCTACATCTCTTTCTTCTTCTTCATTTTGTTTTGACTTGTGTTAAATTGTTTTAGGAGAATGACTTCTTGTGTCATTTCTCTAACATGTATGACATATACATTTCTATAGCCCGGTCTCATATAATTGTGAATTCTACATAAGTCCAATTACAATTGTTTAACATAGTGCTAAATTGTCCTGAATCGGTTAATTAACTACTAACACTAATATTAACTCAATATTATTGTGCTAACTTTACTTTATGCACTTTACATTAATGTCGTTTAATTTAATGCCATTTATATTTCAAGTCATTTATATTTCAAGTCATTTACATTCATGTCATTTTCATTTTTCTTTTATCTTTTGTTATTCGTGTGCTTTATTGCCTTTAAAAGACTAAAAACATTAATAAAGATCAAACCCCTAAAAAACTTTTAATATTGATCTATGGACTTGATGTTACTATCCATTGCTTGGAGTTGGACTTTTGGACTTAGAACTAGGGTTTTTATCCTCATGCTTGGAGTTTGTACCAGAGATCTTGGAATTCATCTCCAATATTTATCAATATTTGAAAACTTGGCTTAGAACTTTGATTATTTTCATCTGATGCTTTATGGGTTTATCTAAGACTTGGACTTATCCTAAGATCTTTGAGATTTGTGATTTTGTCTAAACCTTGTAATATTCATTTGTTATGTGCTTGCTTGCTTGTGGCTTAATCCAAAGAGAAATGGATGCTAAGTTTGACTAATATCAATTGCTTGCTTCATTCTAGTTAGTTCACTTGTACACACAAAGGCTTTCTCTTGGGCTACTTTACAATGAGACCATTTATTTCTTGTACTTTATTTTATACTTTAGGGTCGTCTCTTCATCTCCTCCCATTCTTAAATTTTCAAAGTCTTCTCTCTTTTTCAAAAAAACCTTCTTGTTTCAAACATAAAACCACTTTCAAAACAAACCTTGACTTTGTCAAGTGATTTTCAAAACTTTTTTTCTCAATAAATGCTAAAACATTTAACCATATCAAAACTCTTCCAAAAAACTATAGAAGATACAAACATCATCAAATCAATTTTGTGCTCTTGCACTTCTTTTTCCTTTCAATCTTTTTGGAAAGATTAGACATAAGTCATCTTCTAGTTGTGATGTAAATCTCCTGTTCCCATAGTATGATTGAGAGATGTTGAAATTTTCCACTTGAATGTTGAGACATGTTTATTTATTTTATCCAAGTTAAAGTTCTCCATCAAGATGATGCAAATGACCACTTTATCAATCAAACAAACACCATTTTGTTCTTTTTTACAAGAACTACGTGGTTCTGACTTTTTTATTGCACAAAGAAGATACATAGACACATGCCTCTCGAAGTATTGGAGAATAAAAAATAATAAGAAATATACTTCTTTTCTCCTCTCTCTAATCTTTTTGCAAACAACCTTTTTTGCCTAACACATATTTTCAAGAGGTTCCTACAGAGTAACGTAGATGTAAGGGGTGCTAATATCTTCCTCTTGCATAACCAACCCCCGTACCTATCTTTCTCTTTTGGGGTTTTATCAATATTTTTCTATTCCTTTGGAAACAATAAAGTTCGATGGTGACTCTTGCTTATTATTTTGCGAGTTAAGTTAATCAATAGATTAATCTCAATTTTTCCCGCCGCGACAGCCAGGCCTTAACGTACGAGCTTGCTCCAACATTCCGTCTCGAACCATCTTCGAGCAGATAAATCAGTTACTGCAGCAGCCCACTGGCCCATTTCAGGTGTCGGAGCCGAGATCATCCTCAAGGAAGTCATCGTAGCAGAAGCCCGAACCTATGGGACAGAAGTAGAAGCAGCAGAAGGTGCCACCGGCATCAGGACGGGCAAGCAAACCGTTAGGTCCTAGTCATTTGCAAGCTTTATAGCTTTCTACAATTGAATCAACTGATTCATGTTATCTGTAAAGGCATAAATTTCTTAGTAAAATAAAGGCATCTGGATCCTCATCCTCACCAAAGAGTTTTTGTCTCTCAGAATGTTCATAAGCACTAATGATAACATGGGTATCTATTTGCCTCTTCTTCTGCTGAAAGGGAAGCACTTCATCAAGGCCAAACCATTCTTCATATCAGAGCCCTTGATACCAGACATGTAAATCCTCTTTCATTTTCACTTCTTCGTGAGGCAAAGAAGTTGGCCCATAGTTATAAGAAGAGATAGACCGGTGGAAATGAACTATGGACCAATATTTTCGAAATCCACTTCTACAAGAGTGGGAATTTCCCACTGGACCCGATGACCAGCGAAAGGTCATATGCGCCTCAGAAGTGACGAGTTTCACCAATACAAAATGTTCCCTAAAATTTCCCCAGTGAGAAGCGAAATGGCTTAACCAAGGTACTTGGGGACAAAGACAGATTAATCTTTGATCCTGAACATCATCCACCGAAGTACGAGCCACAAAGAAGAGGTTAAAAAAGAGCCCCAACAAAGACTTCCAAGACTTATACCCAACACAAAGTTAGAACATTAACATGAAGGCCCAGACTCCAAGATGAAGTTGTGAGGGGGCAATTTTTAAATGACTCAACACAACCACCTCAAAATCAAAGAAGGGTAAACGCACCCCTAACTTGATGAAGAGACACTCGTACAAGGAAATTGAGCAACCCTCAAAAGAGCTACACACTCTCTCATTCGTATCTATGTCTTAAGGTACTTATAGATTCAATTTCGCATTCATATGATTTACGCAATGACCGTACACGCCACCTGACCCTATTTGTTTACACCCTAGGATCATTCATGCTCTACGCGGGTCAGATGGTTAATAGGTTGACCACTCTGAAATTCATGTGGGTTTTTTCGATTCAAAAAATGTAATTCTTTATTAATTAAAATTTTCAAATAATATTAAAAAAGAATAATTTAAATTAAATATATAATTAAAAAGTTAAAATATTACACCAAAATCAAATATTATAGTATATATATCTAAATCAATCACTTAAAACAAAAAGTGTTTTTCTCTAAAGAAAAACCCAAAATGTTATTAAACTAATCAATGAAAATTATACTCAACCCCTTTCTTTATCGCAGGCCAATAATTTGGCGCACATGAAAACAAATTGAGCATAAGAAGAATCAAGATCTACCACATATACAATTATGCTTTACCAAATGAAACGAAATGCACCGAGCGATAAAATGAAAAAGCATAAAACATTTACGTCGCCTGAGAGATTCGAACTCTCGCGGGGAAACCCCATGTACTTAGCAGGCACACGCCTTAACCACTCGGCCAAAGCGACGCTGATGTTAATTCTCTCCATCTGATATAAGATAATAAAGAATATTTAATATTCTTTCAAGTTCATTCTCATAAGTTGCTACCGTTTTTAGATAAGTCTAATTACTTTTTAATTTATTCAATTTTTTGTTTAATAGTTTAACGTTTTGAGAAGGCTAAGACCAAATTTAATTTAATTTTTTATTGCTTTTGAAGTATACAATAAAATTGTAATAAAACTAGTGAAATTAATTTAAATGTTGTTTTTCATAAATTTTATTAAATTGATGTAATACTTTTATAAAATTTGATTTTAGCTTAAAAATTTGAATATTATGTGTATTAAAAAATCAATTCTAATATAAATTTATTTTACAAAAATAAAACAAAAGAATAAACATTAAAAACAAAACTATTTTGTGTTATTTGCAAGCCTTTACAAAAAAAGCCAAGAGTAAATCTTAAGTTGAAAGGCTTGTAAGAGAGATATATATTCGTTCTAAACAGAAATTACCAAATATGTACTCTAACACATCAATTACTTTTAGCATATGTTTATTTTCACAACAAATATTAGTCCAGAAGCACTTCTACTCAAAAGTAAATTTTCTAATTTCTTAAAATCACGGCCAAACCACAGTAAAATATCTTTAAAACGTATGTTTATTATTCTAAACGTGAAACCAAACACCTTTTTAATATATAAGAATAAAAATACATAGTTTAAAGTATTTAAATTTATTCATACAGTCATTCTACTCGAAAAAATTATTTTGTCCTTTTGATCCAAAAATATAACATATAGATGACTTTTTTGTTTCCTATTTCATATTTCAAGATTCACGTATAACCTCCCTCGAGATTATCCTTTGCTCTGCTTATCCAATATCCCCTATTCATTGTCAATTTAGTAATTGTATCCATAACTTCAATTTGTTGGTTTCAAATGTTCACGTCTGTTCCACTACTTCTCAACCATTCCAAAATCATCATGGATAGCATTCTGTATAACCTTTTATACTCACAACTTATATTACAACTTCACCTGCCTCAAACCCTAATGTTTTTGCATCTTCTCCCTCCTATCGGTTTAACATGGCACGGTCAATTAAAAAAATATGTGACATCAATGACAGTAAAGAATTATGGAAAGTTGCAATCAGGGTTCATCATAAGTGAAATGTGTTGATTAACAACAAAGAGAATTTTGAAATGATTTTTGTGGACAACATTTTGTCAAGTAAATGCAGTCAGAATTTGAGATGAGCCTTGTTGGTGAGTTAACCTACTTTCTTGGTCTACAAGTTAAACAAATGGAAGATTTCATATTCTTATCTCAGAACAAATATGCGAAGAATATAGTAAAGAAATTTGGTATGGAAAATGCCAGTCACAAAAGAATACCTGCTCCCACACATATGAAGTTGTCTAAAGATAAAAAAGGAGTAAGTGTGGATCAAAGTCTTTACAGAAGTATGATAGGCAGTCTTCTATATCTCACAACTAGCTAACCTGACACTGCCTTTGTTGTAGGGGTGTGTGCTAGATTTCAAGCTGATCCTAAAGTTAGCCATGCCAACCATGTGAAGAGAATTCTCAAATATGTGAATGGGACAAGTGACAATGGTATGCTATATTCTCATGGATATAATTCTGCTTTAATTGGTTATTGTGATGTTGGTTGGGAAGGAATTGATGATGATAGAAAAAGTACACCAGGAGGATGTTTCTTTCTGGAAATAATATCATATCTTGGTTTAGTAAGAAGCAAAATTGTGCGTCTCTGTCCACTGTTGAGGCTGAGTATATTGTTGCAGGAAGCAGTTATTCTCAGTTGGTTTGGATGAAACAAATGTTGACAGAATATAATATCAAACATGATGTCATGACATTATTTTGTGACAATCTAAGTGCCATAAATATATCAAAAAATCCTATTCAGCACAGCAGGACTAAACACATTGATATTCGTCATCACTTCATAAGAGAGCTTGTTGAGGAAAAGATTGTTGCTTTAGAATATGTAGCTACTGAATTACAACTGGCTGACATTTTCACTAAGGCTTTGGATGCAAACCAGTTTGAGAACTTAAGAGGAAAACCAGGGATCTGCATATATGAGGGTTTGTAGAAATTAAGGGCGTGTGGGAATATCATTAAAGTGATATTATATCATTTATTATGTTTCCAACAAATTAAATATCTTAAGCAATCATTTCAAGATTATCTCAAATAATCTTTCACACGCTACGACATTACCTCTTTCTATTTTCACAACCTCTTCGTTTTCCTTTACAGAAAAGAACCCTTTTTATTTTCCATCTCACTGTTAAAAAATATTCAAATATGTCATAACATCATGCTTCGTCTCCCTCAAAGTGTTCTTCTGATGAAGCCAAGGCTTCTAGGTCAAAGTCTGTCAACCATCATAAGGATCTCTCCCTTGATAAAGTCCTGGTCGTCGCTCCTCTGAAAAGTATTCCACCTCTTGAGAAGAAGGTCAAGAAACCCAGATCATCCCATGCAAAGAAATCCAAAGACGAGTTTGACACTTCTAAAGGTAATGCTCCTAATACTACTGATGATAGGTCTGAAGAAGACACTGTTAATGTTGATAGGAGTATTAGAATGCTGGTATATAGGGTGTTAAATGAGGGTTTTGTTGTGTCTGGTATTTCTACTCCTCTTTCCCGAATGCCTGCTCAGGCCGACAAAGGTACTGATCCTTAAAATGTTGTTGAATCATCTAGCTTAAAGAAATATGTTGCTGAAAGTGAACATGGCAAGTTTGCTACATTTGTTCTAGAAGAAGTGGAAGTTGATGTTGAACAAGATGTTGAGACATCATCTGCTGAGAAGGACTCTTCTGCTAAGGAAGATGTTACTGGCTCCAAAACTGCAAAGAATCCAAATGCTGAGAATATGGTGAATGTTGATGAGCTATCTGACAATGACCTTATTTCCAATGTGGTGCCTGGAATTTCTAAAAGGTTCAAATCTAGAAAAGTGAAGGTTGTGGATGTCGCACCCCCTGCCAAGAGTATCAAGAAGAAGACTATGTATGGTCCACCAAAGCCCTGGAGTAAAGTGGTTCCTCCCTCCAACAAAAGAAAAGTTAGACATGATAGCTCCTTAGATGATGATGAAGATGATGTCCAGGATATCTCTCCCGCGAAGAAGTCTACAAGCAAGAAGCTTTCTGTCAGGGTTCCTGATGCTCCTCTTGACAACATTTCCTTCCATTCTGTTGGCAATGCTGAAAAATGGAAATATGTCTTCCAAAGAAGGATTTCTCTTGAAATAGAGTTGGGAGCAGGTGCACTGGAGTGCAAAGAGATTATGGAGCTGATTTCTTTTGCTGGCATGATGAAGACTGTAACTGGGTTTGTAAAATTTTATGAGACTCTTGTTAAGGAATTTAATGTTAATATTACTATAGATTATGCTGATCACAGAAGTAAGGAATATAGGAAGGTGTTTGTTAGAGGTAAATGTGTTGAATTTTCCCCTGTTGTCATCAATAGATATATGGACAGGTCTGAAGATGATTACTGTGAGTTGGAAGTGACTGATAATCAGGTGTGCAAAGCCATCACTACAAACCAAGTGAGTGATTGGCCCATGAAGAATAAGCTCCTTGTTAGTAAGTTAAGTGTGAAATATGCTATCCTGCATAGAATTGGAGCTTCTAACTGAGTCCCTACCAATCATACCTCAACCATTACAGTTGGTTTAGGAAAAAAATTCTATGCTGTTGGAAATAAGAAATTGTTTGATTATGGTGTTTCCATTTTTGAATAGACTGTAAATCACGCAGGAACTTGTGCTATCAAGATGCCTATTGCCTTTCCATCTCTTATTTGTGGAATTATTTTAAATCAGCGTCCTGGGATTCTGTGTGGCACTGATGTAGTTTGTAAAAGGGAGAATGCCCTGTCCCTTCACTTCAAGTTGTTTTTAGGTAAACATGTCCCAAACATTTTTTTGACATCTGCATCCTCTGAAAACAAGACCTCAAGCAAGGATGATATGATTACCGAGTTAATGGAAGCCTGCAAATAACTTGATAAGGTAATCAGATTTAGATCAATAAGAAATCTAAAATTTGAAAAGTTGATCAAGGAGTTGCAGAAGGATAACGGTCTTGATGATAAAGTGGGTACTGAAGAAGGAGATTTTAATAATGAAGGAAGTTCTGAAGCTGCCAAGTCTACTGGTCCTGAAGACCGTTAGACTTTGGCACTTATATGTGCTTGACACTTGGATGTTCTGGTATGTACTTCTTTTTCTACTACTCTCTTGAATGCATGTTTATTTGGAATATTATGTCTAAAAAGGGGGAGAGAAACTTACTGACTGGTAAGTTTGAGGGGGAGCTTCATGTCTCAGAAGATGTCCTGACATCTTTCACTGCTAACTAATAACTGAGTTTTTTTGTTGTTGCTCTGATAATATGCTCAAATAATGTTTTAGCCAAAATTTTCTAAAGGGGGAGTTTGTAAGTGTTTGTTGGCAGCAATTTTGATAAAACACTGCTTTGGTAATTTTTTGCTTAATGTCTTTACATTTGGAGTAAATCATCTCAACTGTTTTTGAATTATGTCAAAGCAGATGTCTCAATATCTGCTTGTTGATCTGAATGTGTTTTCAGATTTTCTGTTTCCTGTTTTTAAGTGCGCCTTATTCAGGTTTTGTGGTTTATAACTTGCGAAAAATATGGAGGAATATTTTTCGATCTGTCTCATCTTTATGGATTATATCTTGGCCTACTTTCATGGAGATATTCAAGGGATTCAATATATTTCAATATTTTTTTTTCAGCCCAAGCCCATAAAGAAGTTGTTGCGCCTTTATAAGGACTTGTATCCTTATTCGTACATCTGCAACAATTGAAGAAAAATATACTTTGTGTGTTTTAGAAGTCTGAATCTTTTAATTGTAATACACTCTAGTATTGTTTCAATATTTGAGTTGTAATTTGAGTTGTAAATTATGGATCATTCATAAGCTTTTAAGTATTGAATGATTGAGGTTTTTCAAACT